CCTTGATTTATGTAAATTCAAAATTCACCTTACAGCTGTTTGCCTTTATACGTCGTTGAACACACGTACTTTTATTAAACATCTTAGCTGTGATTCAATTCTAAAGGGTTCAGACGGTGGTGGATTGATTACACTTAAAATTATTCACCATCTGGACTTTTTCCATCGCCCTTGTTTAAACCCAGGTGGATGTGTTGAGACAATTGAATTACGTATATTGTCCGGTGATGGAGACTAGCTCTATCTGACGGAACCAAGGTACCTATCGCCGAAAGACGGAAACAGCCAGTTTCCGAAACGTCGTGATTTCTTTCTTTTAAACAAGGACGATGGAAAATGTCCCGATAGTGAATAATTTTAAATCTTAGTCGTTCTTTTTATACTGTGCCATCATTTGCCTGTAAACTCATATTTTAAAATCTTCCCTAATCACCAATCCCCGATCGTATACAGTTTCCCATTTCTTCTATAGCAACATCATTCTTCTTATTTTCTTAAGCAGAAACAAGTTCAATAATCAGGCTTATCTCTCAATCACTGAATAAAACGGCATGGCAAATTTGATATGCTAATTGATTGTGATGTGATGTGCGTTATTATTCCCTTTATCATGCGTAACTACAGAATATTTTTAGTCCCTTTACAGTGCATTATGTTCTAGCAAGGACAGAATGGGTAATTCATCGGCTGTTGCTCAATGGAACACAGCTCCAGATGACCGCTGCACTTAGGACACTTTTCCTATCCCCACCGAAATGTCTTTACAGTGAGAGACAGAGAGCGATATATATTGCAGGATGTCTATAAACCAGAGATGTTATAACAAATCGAGCAGCTCAGCTGACCTCCCTCCCAGTTCTTTTTTCTGTGAGATTACCCATAGTTCAACGTAGAATAACGCGATACTTCCCTTTTTCGGTATAACCGCGTGTGGAAGGTTTGTGCGTTGTTTCTGAATCCGTGTGATTTACGCGTTATTTGGCTGAAGTACTCAGAATTAAGTAATTCTCACGAGGAATGTGGCTACGAGTAACAGTAATAATTTACATCCATAGTTTGTGAAGTGTTAGAAAAACTGTGTGGTGATTTTGGTTTGGAAAGCTTAAACTCGCGTGCAAGAGTGGTTATTGCATCACTTGATTTAACCCAACGCAGCAACATTAAAGCTACAGGTGAAAGGTAAAGAAATACTTTCAATTGGTATATGTGATTAGTTAATTAATCTTATGCTGAAGTTATACTGGCGTATATTTCCTGCCAGCAGTTGAACAGGTGGTTAAGTAATATGAGAATGTCAACCAACTGCGTATACTGTCTGACATTTTAAGGCTCTACTTATGAA